GTGGTGGTCACGCTGCACGTGGTGGCCACGCTGCACGTGGTGGTCACTCTGCACGTGGTGGTCTCGCTGCACGTGGTGGTCACTCTGCACGTGGTGGTCACGCTGCACGTGGTGGCAACGCTGCACGTGGTGGTCACTCTGCACGTGGTGGTCTCGCTGCACGTGGTGGTCACTCTGCACGTAGTGGTCACTCTGCACGTGGTGGTCACGCTGCACGTGGTGGTCACTCTGCACGTGGCCACCACGTTGCACGTGGTGGCCACGCTGCACGTGGTGGTCACTGCACGTGGTGGTCACGCTGCACGTGGTGGTCACTCTGCACGTGGTGGTCACGCTGCACGTGGCCACCACGTTGCACGTGGTGGCCACGCTGCACGTGGTGGTCACGCTGCACGTGGTGGTCACTCTGCACATGGTGGTCACACTGCACGTGGTGGTCACTCTGCACGTGGTGGTCACTCTGCACATGGTGGTCACTCTGCACATGGTGGTCACACTGCACGTGGTGGTCACTCTGCACGTGGTGGCCACGCTGCACGTGGTGGTCACGCTGCACGTGGTGGTCACGCTGCACGTGGTGGCCACTCTGCACATGGTGGTCACTCTGCACGTGGTGGTCACTCTGCACGTGGTGGTCACGCTGCACGTGGTGGTCACTCTGCACGTGGTGGTCACGCTGCACGTGGTGGTCACTCTGCACGTGGTGGTCACGCTGCACATGGTGGTCACTCTGCACGTGGTGGCCACGCTGCACGTGGTGGTCACGCTGCACGTGGTGGTCACTCTGCACGTGGTGGTCACGCTGCACATGGTGGTCACTCTGCACGTGGTGGTCACGCTGCACGTGGTGGCCACGCTGCACGTGGTGGTCACTCTGCACGTGGTGGTCACTCTGCACGTGGTGGTCACGTTGCACGTGGTGGTCACGCTGCACGTGGTGGTCACACTGCACGTGGTGGTCACGCTGCACGTGGTGGTCACGCTGCACGTGGTGGTCACTCTGCACGTGGTGGTCACGCTGCACATGGTGGTCACTCTGCACGTGGTGGCCACGCTGCACGTGGTGGTCACTCTGCACGTGGTGGTCACGCTGCACGTGGTGGTCACACTGCACGTGGTGGTCACTCTGCACGTGGTGGTCACGCTGCACGTGGTGGTCACGCTGCACGTGGTGGTCACTCTGCACGTGGTGGTCACGCTGCACGTGGTGGCCACGCTGCACGTGGTGGTCACGCTGCACGTGGTGGCCACGTTGCACGTGGTGGCCACGCTGCACGTGGTGGTCACTCTGCACGTGGTGGCCACGCTGCACGTGATGGTCACGCCGCACGTGGTGGTCACGCTGCACGTGGTGGTCACGCTGCACGTGGTGGTCACTCTGCACGTGATGGTCACGCCGCACGTGGTGGTCACTCTGCACGTGATGGTCACGCCGCACGTGGTGGTCACTCTGCACGTGGTGGTCACGCTGCACGTGGTGGTCACGCTGCACGTGGTGACCACGCTGCACGTGGTGGCCACGCTGCACGTGGTGAAGCTGCACGTGGTGGTCACGCTGCACGTGGTGGTCACGTTGCACGTGGCTGCCTTGAATCCAGCAGTGTCGAGGCAGCCGTGAGGGTTGGTGGGTCACCGCACAGATGGGGCGTGAAACTCTACCTCGCTACCCGTGAGCATCGAGGAGAAGCCGTACCCCTGGCTCGCCAGGAGTTAAGCAGTGCAGCAAGTTGACGAATCGCCATCTGTTTCCATCTGTGCGGCAGCACCCTTCGCGTAAGGCGTGGGTTTTCTCTGGGAGCTCCGCTTTCCTTCCACTTAAAATAAAAAAACAACGCAGCGGCATGACCCTCCTGATAAACAGTTCTGCGACTCAGCGTGGTCTTCTGGGATAGATGAGTCAATTATTATAGTACTGTACTTTATTATCCTGCAGTACTTTATTATACTGCATCACAGTGCCGTGCTGCATTATTACAGTGCGGTGTTGTAGTACTGGCCTGTAGCATTATTAGCAGTCAACCACTGCAGCTGCGAGTGGTAAATCGTGACGATTCATTCAATCTGATTGAGAACTTTATCATAAGAATTGAGCAACGCCCTTGGTTTACCCAGGAAAGCCTCGGCGAGTCTCAAGACCCATCTTCAAGAGGGTGCTGTGCTACGTTGTGCAATGTTGTATTGGAGGGCGGGGTCGCTGTGGGCTGGGTCTGTTCTTGCCGTTGTCACGATACTTTGCCCGATCTTAAGAGTTGGTGTGCCTATGTAATTAGAACTCACAGTGTATGCCTTTACCTATTTGACGTATTTATTTTTTCAGTGCAGTGTTTGCCTTCATAAACACTTTGCACTCATATCGTGTTTTTTTTTGTTCTGTACTGGTTGCTGATGTTGTCAGCTTCTGATCCCGTGCGCCCGACTGGGACATCTGTGAAAAATTAGGTTTGTAACTCATCGGATGCCTCGTGCAAAGTAAATACTAGATTCTGACATGTAGGGACATTGATCATTAATACAGTTTTGTTGGGTTAGATCGCTTAAGTATGAATGTGTCGTAAGCCTCCACCACCCGACACGGCCAGCGAGGCTTGTCACGAAAACAGCGCATCGATTAGTTGCTACTACAGCCCACCGGTGCGTTGGAGAATAAATCCACACCAGATTTGAAGTTTTCGTGACTGCAAGCATCCATACTCTTTGGTTGTTTCGGTAAAGTCACGTAGGTGAAAACAAAACAAAATAAAAATAAAACAACTGATTTAATTTAGTTGTTTTATTTCATTTTCACCTACGTAACTTTACCGAAACAACCAAAGAGTATAAATCCATTTGCTGCTTTGTGTGTTCTTTAGTTTGTTTTCCATCCCCCCCGCATCTCCGATATAGCACGGTTGGCTACGTACGGTGCGAAAGAAGTTTAACGCACATGCATACAGCGGCAATACAATCGCGGGTGGGACGAACGAAGCCACCCAGTTGCTGTACTGCACAGCGCTCCCAGTGCGTTGTGTCGACTGGGAGCGAATTCGCAAACAAGAAAACAAAAACATCTCCATGTGATCCGCCAAACGTGGGACCATAACATCATCATCATCGCCGTCAACAACATCACCACCAACGCCATAGCCATCATCATCAGCAGCATCATCAACATCACCACCAATACTATAGCCATCATCATCAGCAGCATCAGCAGCAGCATCAACAACAAAATCATCATCATCATCAACATCATCAACATCACCAGGAGCATCAGCAACATCAACAACATCATCAACATCATCAGCAGCATCAACATCATCATCATCTTCTTGGTTCTTTCGGTAAAGTCACGTAGAAGGGAAGTAATAAAATAATACAAATAAAACATAATAAAATAATATATTATTATATTATATATTATTATATTATTTTATCATATTATTATATTATTTTATTATGTTTATTTTTATTATTTTATTACTTCCCTTCTACGTGACTTTACCGAAGGAACCAAGAAGATGAATCCCTGCAGTCACGAAAGCTTTAAATCGAAATCATCATCATCGCCATAGCCATCCCTCCCCCAAAATAGAGACTGCTCCACCCCGTAACTCAGGCGCTGCGCATCTAAAATAGAGACCCGTAAACACGCGCGCGCGTGCACACGCGTCTGTCCGCGCTCGCGAGCGCACGGCCACCAACACCCGCGTCGATTCATCAGGAGCGGTCCCGGGCCTCCCCCTAGGTCGACTCGGCCTCAAATGAGCAAAGCACCTGGCTGCGGGGTGCGGTAGACATCGCTCGTACGAGGGAGACAAAGGCGGGCGGGCGTGGTGCTGTGCTACCACCACCACCACCACCCGCTCCTTCGCGTGCCGTGACGCTAACAGCACTTGCCCCCAGCGGCATCTGAAGGCTACATGGGGGATACGTGCCTTTGTATGATCATACAGCACGGTAATTTATTCCCGGTTAGAAGTGAATTCTGACCCGGCTCTGGGCCACCCCTAGATCAACTCGGCCTTAAGTAGGCAGGTGACTTGGTGCTGCGTGTAACGATCAGGGGGAGGGGGGAGACAAAGGCGGCCAGGACGTAACACTCGCCAGCACCTCCGTCCTCTCGTGCGCCCTGCCGGCCGGCCTTAATAGGTGCTCGCTAACAGCGCTTGCACTTGAGCCAGGCGATATCCGATGGATCGTTATCTTTCCATGTGATGTATCACAAAGACAAAGTTCCCCCGGTACAGCCTTTAACACACTGTTGGGGCAAGTGCACCTATGAAGGCCGGCACGGCGCGCGAGGTGGCGGGTGGCGAGCACCACGCCCGGCCGCCTTTGTCTCTCTAGTGTCGATGTAACTACACACTACACCAGGTACTCATTTCAGGCTGAGTCGACCTAGGGGAGTCTCAGGAGCCGGTTCAGATAATCTTCACTGGTGTTGGCCGTGAGCGGTGATCGGACCCGGGTCGCCGGGTTCGTAGCGCAGTGCGCCCACCGCTACACCACCGCTCCCCACAAAGTAATGTCCACACACGCACACACACAGAGTGGCGTTATTAGGGGCCAAATCCAGGAGGTTTCCATTCGATCCGGATCTCTCCGCCACTCATAAAAGATCACCCACACGCCCGGCACCACCACGTCCAGTAATCCTTCTCGTCACGTGTCTACTCGCAGCATTAATGGCTTGTGTTCCAGCATCGGTTCCGTGATGGTTCCATATGGCGTTGACTTCCGGTACAACTATTCCAATGCAGGTGCTGTCATGGTTCAAACATGTACCGAGTTCCCAAAATGTCTTGTTCCATCCTGGGATTCAGAGTCACGGCCCCATTCCAGGTGCCATCATGGGTCATGTGATGAGTTCCGATGTCTCGTTCCACCGCACTTTCTGTGATGGCTCCCCCAGTGGCGGTCTTCCACCCGCGGGTTTCCACCACGGTTCGAACTTCGCTCCGACTTGCAGATCCTTCCACGGCCGTCGCCTCCTCGCTCCGCCACGACCTTCATCAGCACACCCCCCCCCCCCTCTCGTCCACCCCACCCACCCCCCACCTCGTCAACTCCATCAACTGCATGACCCCTTGCGTCGTTCCATGTCGCGACCCTGTAGGAGGAGGTGGGGGCGGGCGGGGGGGGCGGAGGGGTCAGTGATTGAATTGAACCGAGGTTTCGTTCGAGAAGTGAATGATTCAATAATGCGACGATCTTAGTGAATTGTTCAGTCTCTCGGGTTTTTTCGGTGAAGTCACGTAGGTAAAAAATACAATTAGAAGTTAATAAAATAAAAATCACGACGTTTCGGAGGCAACACAAGTCTCCGTCATCAGGTGGGACCGTCACAGCTAAAATTACTGCAGTAATATTTAGCTGTGACGGTCCGAAACGTCGTGATTTATTATTTTATTAATTAATTTTATTTCCATTATTACTTTTATTAACTTCTAATTTTATTATTTTTTACCTACGTGACTTTACCGAAAAACCTGAGAGTATGAATCATTGCAGTCACGAAAGCTTCAAATCTAGAATTAATTATTCAGTCATTCAATCCGTCACACTGTTCGCCAATCAGTCATGCACACAGTCGGTCAATTAGTACGACATTAATTCATTCGGTTAATTACCGCTTTCGTAGTCCACGCGGTCAATTAGTAAATCATGAAAAATCATTCGGCAAATTACGAAATCGGTCAGTGAGTCATTCACTCAGACAATGACTAAGTCGGTCATGGATCGGGTATACGATCGTTGGATACATTCCGTACCACCCAATTCGATCTTTGGATTAGGTATTCACTCATTCAGGCATGAGTCGACCGTTCACTCATTCAATCGCTCACTATTGAATGGAAGGAAACATCTATAATAGGCGACGTTTCGGGCAACGGCCGTCCTCTAGAGTCCACAGAGAGGCCAGCAAAGAGACAGAGTTGACTGCGCGTGTGCGCCACCGCGAACGCATCACCACCACCACAACCACCACCATCACCATCACCACCACCACCATCACCACCACCACCACCACAACCACCACCATCACCACAACCACCACCACCATCACCACCACCATCACCACCATCACCATCACCACAACCATCACCACCACCACTACCACTACCAGATGCCTTGTTGAATGAACTACTACTTGTTGTTGTTGTTGTGGTGTTTAGTTTGTGGTCCTTCCCCCGCACCTCCAATTAGCACGGTTGGCTACGTACGGTGCAAAAGAAGTTCAACGTGCATACAGCCAAGTCACTCGTTCCTTAGTCCGACGCACCGATCATTTCATTAACAGACCTTCATCAATGAACTTCTAGACGAAGGCTTATTCAAGGCATATGTCACGGGGGATATTTGACCATACTTCACCGCGCCGGTCTATGCGGGGTTGGCGAGGTGGTCAGGCGCCAGTCTCGGGCTAAGACATCACTCGCACTGACGGCCAAAGTCCCCCAGCCCGCTGGCGCTGGGCGCTAATCGCTGCGCCACCGCTCTCCCGGCCAGCGCGTCATTCCGTAATTCATTCCTGGCGTGTCATTCCGTGAGCAATTCATTCAATGACTTGGTCATTCACTCCGCCTTCTCGCGAGGCGTGCCTGCGAGCAGCGCCTATGGGTGTCGAGAGGAGGCGTGGTGGGTAACGGTGGTGATGCTGACGGTGGAGAGGATGATGATGATGATGGTAGTGGATGTGGTGATGGTGGTGGCGATAGTGGTGCTGATGATGATGGTGGTGGTTTCCGATGGTGGTGGTGGTGCCGATGGTGGTGGTGGTGCCGTTGGTGGTGGTACCGATGGTGGTGGTGATTGTACGGATGGTGGTGATAGTGATGATGGTGCCGGTGATGGTGTCGGTAATGGTGATGGTGTTAGTGGTGCCGATGGAGGTGGTGGTGGTTGCGGATGGTGGTGATGGTATCGATGGTGGTAATAGTCATGTTGGTGATGGTGCCGGTGATGGTGCCGGTGCTGGTGATGGTGCCGATGGTGATGATGGTGATGGTGCCGGTGATGGTGGTGGCGCATGCCCCGTGTCTATATCGAGCCGCCTCCTCCTGTCGCCTCGCGAGATCTGTCCCAGCCCCAGCAGGTGCCGAGTATTATTAGGGGCGCGCGCGCAGTGCACGCGAACAGGTGCCAGCCCCCCCCCCCCACAAACATAGCCCCTCCCCCCGCCCCCCCCCCACAAACATCGCCCCCCCCCTCGCCCCCCACAAACATAGCTTCTCCCCCTCGACCCCCCCCACAAACATAGCCCCTCCCCTCGACCCCCCCCCCCCCACAAACATAGCCCCTCCCCTCGACCCCCCCCCACAAACATAGCCCCTCCCCTCGACCCCCACAAACATAGCCCCTCCCCTCGACCCCCCCCCACAAACATAGCCCCTCCCCTCGACCCCCCTCACAAACATAGCCCCTCCCCTCGACCCCCCTCACAAACATAGCCCCTCCCCTCGACCCCCCTCACAAACATAGCCCCTCCCCTCGAAACCCCCCCCCCCCCCAAGGAGGGGGTCGAGGGAGTTGCTTCACAAAACTTCACCTCTTGAGAGACCGCAGCTCCACCAGTCGACGCGGTGATGGCGATGATGGTGGTGGTGGTGGTGATGATGATGGTGGTGACGATGGTGGTGGTGGTGATGATGATGGTGATGGTGGTGATGATGGTGGTGGTGATGATGATGGTGGTGGTGGTGGTGATGATGGTGGTGGTGGTGGTGATGATGATGGTGGTGGTGGTGATGATGATGGTGGTGGTGATGATGATGGTGGTGGTGATGATGATGGTGATGGTGGTGATGATGGTGGTGGTGATGATGATGGTGGTGGTGGTGGTGGTGATGATGATGGTGGTGGTGGTGATGATGATGGTGGTGGTGATGATGATGGTGGTGGTGATGATGATGATGATGATGGTGATGATGATGGTGGTGGTGATGATGATGGTGGTGACGATGGTGGTGGTGATGGTGGTGATGATGATGATGATAGTGGTGGTGATGATGGTGGTGGTGGTGATGATGATGGTGATGGTGGTGATGATGGTGGTGGTGATGATGATGGTGGTGGTGGTGGTGATGATGGTGGTGGTGGTGGTGGTGATGATGGTGGTGGTGGTGATGATGATGGTGGTGACGATGGTGGTGGTGATGATGATGATGGTGGTGGTGATGCTGGTGGTAGTGATGATGGTGGTGGTGATGATGATGATGGTGGTGGTGATGATGATGATGGTGGTGGTGATGATGATGATGGTGGTGATGATGATGATGGTGGTGGTGATGATGATGGTGGTGATGATGATGGTGGTGGTGATGATGGTGGTGACGATGGTGGCGATGATGGTGGTGATGATGATGATGATGATGGTGGTGGTGATGATGGTGGTGGTGACGATGATGGTGGTGGTGATGATGATGGTGGTGGTGGTGATGATGATGGTGGTGACGATGGTGGCGATGATGATGGTGGTGATGATGATGATGGTGGTGATGATGATGGTGGTGGTGGCGGTGGTGGTGATGATGATGGTGGTGATGGTGATGATGATGGTGGTGGTGATGATGATGGTGGTGACGATGGTGGCGATGATGGTGGTGATGATGATGATGGTGGTGGTGATGATGGTGGCGATGATGGCGATAATAATGATGATGGTGGTGATCATGATGATGGTGGTGGTGATGATGATGGTGGTGGTGGTGGTGATGATCATGATGGTAGTGGTGATGATGGTGGTGATGATGATGGTGGCGATGATGCTGGTGATGATGGTGGCGATGATGGCGATGATGGCGGTGATGGTGGCGGTGATGGTGGCGGTGATGGTGGCGGTGATGTTGGCGGTGATGGTATCAGCCAATTCGTTGAGCTATCATTGTTGATGGCCAGGTGACTTCTGTGAAAGAAGCTCATGGCTCAGCGGCGGGCTTTACCTGGTCAAATAAAATAGTTGAGTGATGCGTCTATATGTTGATGTTTTAGTGATGTGTTTACCTTTCCTGTACTTTGCACTCCTATCCGTCTTTCTGTATTGTTTGTTTGTTGTTGTTGATGTTGCTCATCGGATTCTTCTAGGAAGAATACAGATCATGATTGTGATTCCCTTCACCCCCTGCGCCTCCACCTCTTCCTCCTCCACCTCCTCCTCCACCACCTCCTCCACCTCCTCCTCCACCACCTCCACCACTATCTCTTCCTTCTCCACCTTCTCCTCCACCACCTCCTCCACCTCCTCCACCACCTCCACTATCTCTTCCTCCTCCACCTTCTCCTCCACCACCTCCTCCACCACCTCTTCCACCTCCTCTTCCACCACTATCTCTTCTTCCTCAACCGTCTCCTCCACCACCTCCTCCACCTCCTCCACCACCTCCACTATCTCTTCCTCCACCTTTTCCTCCTCAACCTTCTCCTCCACCACCTCCTCCACCTCTTCCACCTCCTCCACTATCTCTTCTTCCACCTTTTCCTCCTCAACCTTCTCATCCACCACCTCCTCCACCTCCTCCACCACCTCCACTATCTCTTCCTCCTCCACCTTCTCCTCCTCCTCCACCACCTCCTCCACCACCTCTTCCACCTCCTCCTCCACCACTTCCACCACTATCTCTTCCTCCTCAACCGTCTCCTCCACCACCTCCTCCACCTCCTCCACCACCTCCACTATCTCTTCCTCCACCTTTTCCTCCTCCACCACCTCCTCCACCTCCTCCTCCACCACCTCCACCACTATCTCTTCCTCCTCAACCTTCTCCTCCACCACCTCCTCCACCTCCTCCACCACCTCCATTATCTCTTCCTCCACCTTTTCCTCCTCCACCACCTCCTCCACCTCCTCCTCCACCACCTCCACCACTATATCTTCCTCCTCAACCATCTCCTCCACCACCTCCTCCACCTCCTCCACCACCTCCACTATCTCTTTCTCCACCTTTTCCTCCTCCTCCACCACCTCCTCCACCTCCTCCTCCACCACCTCCACCACTATCTCTTCCTCCTCCACCTTCTCCTCCACCACCTCCTCCACCTCCTCCACTATCTCTTCCTCCACCTTTTCCTCCTCCACCTTCTCCACCTCCTCCACCACCTCCTCCACCTCCT